TTCATAATGCCGAATAAAGTAAAAGCTTGTCTGAGGCAATTACTGCTGCCTCAGTTGAAATTGATCAAGTTTATATGGCACTAAATATAGACTCTCTAAATCTCAAGGAAGCTAGATGGATGGTACGATCTTTTTTATTTGTTATTTCTTTCATATGATCATTTATGAAATTTCTCTATAAGACTAATACATTTTGAATATAAAAAATAGGTTTGTTTCAGCAATGATTTTCGGAAATCTATTGTAAAGATCAAAGATCCTGAGACCTTCGAGGAACTTTTTAGCTTGCTAAAGAAGAATACATTTTGAATATGAAAAATGGGTTTGTTTCAGCAACGATCTTCTGAAATCCATTGCAAAGATCAAAGATCTTGAGACCTTCGAGGAAATTTTTAACTTGTTAAAGAAGCTTTTAAGTGGTTGGCGTTAATTGGAAGATGAAAGAAATGTTGTCTCACTTGATGGAACATGTTCCCTGTTATTGGAGTAGTATCCAGTAAAGAACAATCTGATTCTGATTTGGACAGTTGAAATTCAAAAGGAGACTTCATACCAAATTTAGGAGTTGAAGGTTTGAGATGTTCTTTGAACTTCTGAAATTCCGAAGCTTGTAAAACATCTTGATAACATATTTAGAAATTACACAGTTAACAAAATGAATCGCTGCAGATATCAGTGTACGGAAGGTATGGACTAAATATGTAAACTTGTAAAATAAGTAATTGAAATTATAGGTTCTAATTGAGGAGAAATTATATATCAGATTATTAATCATAAAAGTTTATATAGGAACTATGTTGTTCCAAATAGATGGCCTATAACGGCTCGTGAACTAGAAAGAAAATAAATTATGAATTGAATGCGGAAGCGAAACAATAAATTAGGGTTTACATTCTTTACATAATAATTCAGGATAGTCAATAGGGATATGTGAATGACCATTCTAAAGGAACAACTATAATCAAAGAAATAAATGAAAGTAAACAAGCTGAACGTCCTACTCGCAACCCTCTTGTGGATCGGGCTCTGAATTTTGGTCCTCTTAATCTAAAATGGTTAATAAAAAGAGTGAGTTACACTAACCCAGTAAGAATATCACGTTACTCACTGACACAGAAATGAAGATTGATAGAAATCATAAATACAATAATGGAGCTCTTAATTAAATAAAATTTGTTTATCATAAATAAAATTATTTACTGCATGTTTATCATAGTGAGATTTTCAAAACCGATCTATAAGTCAATAACATAAACAATATCCTAATTTTATATTCATTAGTGGAAAACACTTTCTCATTTATCTGCCTACTGATATCCATGGGGGTCCATAGGGACTGTCTCTACTATATGTGACATTTTTTAACATTTTCA